CATGAAAATTACCAGATTAAAGCTTGGAAACGTGTAAGTTCGTACTAGTACTCGTTGATCTGCGCAACAGTCAAAGTCGCTATCTTTGTTTATATGAGACCCATATATCTCGCACATGCGCAGCGCGACGACTACCGCGCTTTAAGGATTGATCATTGGAAATCGAGTGGTGGTCTTTTTGACACACACATGTAACCGGAAATTTCTTTACACTTTTTTTTCCAATAATATATTTCATTACTACTTTAAAAAACTCACTGAATTTAAATATGATTTTGACAAGCAAGCGGAATCTTCTACCCGTCCCCTTTAGTTTAAAGCGGGGGGGGGGGGGAGTTGTCACCTTCGCTTGCGGCAGATGGCCAGCAAGCGCATGGCGGGTCGTTGTTTACAAACACGCATCTACCCATGAGCCTTTGTGTTTTTAGCTTGCGTTGTCATCTTTGCTTAGGACTCAATTCCCGCGCGTGCGCAGGTGACGACCCTTTCGCTTTAAAGTGTCACTGTTGAACCTTATCTGTATTAAATAGGATTTTTCTCGCCACAATGATGGCTTACCTGATTTACATTGGTCATGAGACCATAGCTAAACAAGTAAAAGACGTGCCTACAATCTATTGGACGTGAAATTAGAGATCTACAGTCAAAAAAGACGTAGCTTTCTACAAACGTAAGTGGTTGTGGTGTTTTGGGCGGATGAAGACAGGATATAGTTAGTGTTTATGAATACATTATTTTCTAGATGAAGTGTATAACACATTGTTTACCCGACCCATTTCAATTCTAAAACTCACATAATGAGACTTATTGGTAGTTAATAATTTTTCCAATGATTTATTCGTCAAATTAACCATTAAAATGTGAGTTGTCTAATCAAAAGTGTTGTTTCTAATTCAATTACAGTGTCCCATGTACACTGAGATATTGTGGTACCGACAATCTGTATAGCAACGACTCACCATGGATGCTGCAAGCCTCCAGGCCTTCTTGACTGCTTCTAATCTCATATTGGACCATAAACTGGCATCAAAGTTAAAAGCTATGGACATTCTACCCATACTTACACAGTTCAATTCATTGACGCCACAGGAAGCGCAGTATGTGTACAACGGTGCAACAGATAAAATCAAGACAGAGCGGTTACTCGCGAAAATCAAACAGAGAGGTGCACAGGGGTATTGGAATTTGCGACGAGCATTGGAACTATTTGGGGCTAAGTACAGTGATCTCGTGGAGGCAATAGATCTGGCAATGCCACCACAAACACCAGGCTTTTAGTTGGAATTCTAAACTCTGTGCTGTTCTAGAAAGCTGCATTTCGAATGGCGGTATACGCCAAGTGACAATAATTTTGGTTATGTAAGAAAGACAGAGAGTAACAAGGTCTTGAATATTAATACGGTCATGTTGTTTTTGATATAATTACATGCACTAGTAACTGACTGCCACATTAAAGCAGGGGAGTCATCACCTGCGCATACGTCAGATGGCCACAACGTGTCATTGTTTACAAACAAGCGTCTACCCATGAGCCTTTGCGTTTTTAGCGCGTGTTATCGTCGCTTGTGTCTCAATTCCAGCGTGTGCGCAGGTGACGACCCTCCCGCTTTAATTGTGTTGTGTGGAATTATTTATAAACATGTTTTGGGTGCACGCTGTCGAAATATCGTTTACGCAATATTTGTCTTCCAGTTTTACTTATTAGGATACACTCGTGCCATTTGGGGGGGTTAATATTTTGCCATGTCTGCTTTCATTTTTGTCAATTCAAATCCTTGTATCCTTCCTTCAACGGTATGTGTTTGAACTAAGCTTGGCGCCAGTGTCGTAGATGATGGTGTAACTTCATTGCCTGACATCACTTGTGGCGACCACCAAGTAAAATTTCATTAATTTAGATTTTGTGGTAATTATGCATTTTCCGAATCTGTACTTGTTTCCCCTCTTTAGTTTTTATTGTGAATTTCATTTAACAGGAATTGTATCTGCGTTTTTTGACATTTTTTTAATAGTGAGCCAATATAACGTTTCTAGTACTTCAAAACACAGAAAAAATGTCTAGCCATGCCAATGTTAGAAATTCAAATTTGGGTGAAGAACTTTGTTTTACATCTGTGAATTAAAAAAGAATTTGTTGTAAAACATCTTTGGAATGTTTGGCTATTATTTGCATTCCATGTCAAGGAAAATAACACATGAAACAGCAATATATTAGCTAATGTATAAGGCCTTCTGTTGAAAATAAATTAGAATTACTCATAGAAGCTATAAATACTACAATGTTTGTATTTGGGTACGGTTAAATTTAATGCACAGATATATATGCTATGACCTACAATAACACAAATATTCATGCTACCCGACTAAGTAAAAACAAAACGATCTGGGAGTTCTATTCATTGAAAAGTATGTGTTTTTTATCCTCAATATTACTTCAACTGTGTTAATCCCAGTTGTCCCTCATGGAATACATCCAAGTTCCCAAACAATATATATATATATAAGCAACATTTGACCCTGGAAAGGGGGGGGCGACTAACATTTGATAGACCAAAATATTGTAAAAAATTATTTATACATCCCATTACAGGCAAGATAACAAACTATAAACTAAAATGTAAATATGTGGCTTGCAGCCTGTGGTTTAACCATGGAAGGTACTAACGAAAGGAGCCACGACGCCAATCAAGTGGCCACTTAAGCCTCTTAACTGGCTTATTTCCTTTTGTTTCAACCCAACGCCATTGTCTAGCTCATCTTTGATGTCCATGATAGTTTGCGATTGTTTACACAGGTGACGAGTTAGCGGAGTATGATACAACCCCGCCATTTTTTTAATGTGACTATAAAATATATGTGTATTATGAAACTACGGTCATCACACATGCGCACTGGGTTTGTTTAGGTGTAAAAGGTCAAAATACGTATTTCACAACTGGAAATTCAACTGATGAACGTTTGACTTCACAAATTTCCCATGTTTTAAATATTAGCAACTGTAACTAGAACAAGATTTCGAGTGCATACAACAATTCCTAAGGATTCCTAAGAAATATTATCACAGAGAATGTGTCGAGGCATGCTCTTCTTTCGATACTATCTTTTCTGTTGGTGTTCGCCGATGTCCGGTGGTCAAAAATTTCGACAGTTTCGGGCGCCAAACCCACGCACTGACAATGGTACCATTGAATAATGCAATCGTCACAAGAATTCATTGATTAACTCTCATTACCATTACAAAATTCACGATATTTCATCAGAGTTTCTTCAATCAATGTTACATCTGACAATTTTCCATTAAAGTTCGCCTTTTTCAATATTGTGCATGCGAGGTACGACTATCGCTTCCGAACATGCTCCGAATATTACCGAATGCTCGAGATTAGCATAACCCATTGTACGAAGGTGTTAAAAGCTAACAAGAACAATGTTTGTGAACAAACACTAACAAACGATCATGGGGTAAAGTTAAAACAATAGCGTCGTGGCTCCTTCCGTTAGTACCTTCCGTGCAAACCTATTCATAAAGTTTAAATTGAGTAATTGAAATTGCCTAATTTATGTAAATTAGGTATTTAATATCCATGGTTTCAACCTCAAACTGGTCATGAAAGAGGATTACCACCAGAGCACCTACGCACTCACTGTTGAGTGGTTCCCAATAGGAATCAATTTTACCCAAAGAACACAATTCTTTAGAATCAGTTTCTTTTATTGCAAACTGATAATTTACCAATACAGATAGTTTCTTACTTTACCTTCACTGGTCAATCAGGCAGATTCTCTTTTGATAAACATGTGTCAGAATGTTACTACTTTCTTTTTAATAAGTCTAGTGGGAATCAAACCACGCTTCTTGATCATCCACTCTATATCGACTGAGATAAGTAGCTGATTGATGATGGAATGCAATGAATGGCCCATGATTATACATGCATTACATCAGGTGTGCCATGTACATGGGGGTTGAGTTTTCTGAACTGATTGGTCCATTCATTATTCATCCGCACAAAAGGAGAAACATAACATATGCATGCAGCAACCACGAAGGACTTTGTAGAAAATTCACCCAAAACTGGTGATATTGATTATAAAAACTAGTAAAATTCACCAAATTTGTGGTACAACTTAGTATCATACTTGTATTCAAAGATTTACGGGAAAGCATTGTAGCGTTTTAGGTGAAACTCCTCAGCCCTGCATGCCTGGACATGATTTTATTTCCATAAATATCCTCACACTTCTATTTTTATTATCGACAATACTACTTTTTGAATTGTCACTTTCTAACAGCCCTCTAACAAATGGTAGTAGATGATTTTTCTTCATTATTTACTTGGAAAATATTTATTTTTTTTGTTCTCAACAATGCCAGTATACTTGGAAAGTACTCTTTCTTTGTTCCATACAGCACCCAGTTTCATTGTTCTCAACAATACCCATTTATTTGGAGAAGACTGAACTAGGTTGTCACGCGACTCAGATGCAGAGCATAATTTTCCCTTACTATTTAACACATTTTTTATGCAGAAACACCTTTGATTCATACAGACCCTGTACATAACACACAACCTGTGATGGGACTGCAAAAAGCTATCTAAATCTCACCAAATATGCAGTGTGCTGACTCACAAAAATAAATCTGTTTGATTAAAATCGCATTTCCTATGCCTCCTTAATGCCACTGTGTTGAATAATAATTCTATCAATCATTATTTTTACATTGTTAAACAAATCCATCAATCTATGAAATGCTATCACTTTGCTAGATTTGATTCTCCGCCAAAGTTTTACACGAGACAGGTTTTAAGAATACAAGTTTTTGAGTTACGATATTTAAATTTGTACTGGACCAGAGACAGTAAGTGTATTTTGTTGTACATCAAAAGACCCAAGAACAATAACGACGAAGAAGACTATATTGGAACCCTATTTGGTACGAGTAAACGTATACTGCATTCCCAACTAAAGATGGAAAAAAAAACACCCAGCAATTTACATAACTTTTGTTTATTTGTGATTAATCATAGTACTGCAACCTTGAATTTTGAAAAGCATGAATCTTTCCAACACTTAGAAATTATGATTTATCATTGGGGGGGGGGGGGGGGGAGAGCAAGCAGTACCTTAAAGGGTCACCTTCCAGTTAAGCTTAATTTCACAACTAATTTACTTTCTGGATTAAAATAACAATGGATAACAAAAGATAGATTAACATTGTAAACAACATAAACAATAGTGTCCCATGATTCTTTGGTGCAATCCATGGGATTGAGCGGTTTCCCTTTAAACATCTTAGAAAATATATTATCCATTCAAAAAAATGAAAATCCCATGCCCTTTATCGCTGTCACTACACAGGACAGCACAATATTTTTTTTATAAATGGGACAATATATAAAATTATTTTTATATTTCTCATTGCCGTTAAATCCCATTACTAACCGTACACTTTATTGAAAGTCATATGAGCAAAAATTAAAAACTACGATCTATTCAATATAAACCATGTGGATTGGTGGAATATTTTCAGAGTGAGATGGTAACGCAAAACACATCCCTCCATCCCCATGAACACTGATCATACTGGCAAGTCATTTGATGATTTCAAGATGTTGGCAGATGTTGTTCCAAGTTGGCAGTGATTCTCCCTTCAAATTTAATGTCATTAAATCATGAATGAATAATCTTATCAAACTTCAAAATTTGTAATTTTCTGTGTGGAAATTCTAGTTTGAACTTAAATATTATCAATAAGAAACCACACCCAAACTTTAAACTCACTTTTGTCGTTGCAATAAAAATGGGGTTAATAATAGGATTTTAACGCAACATCAATTCAAATTTTTGTACCTTTTATATATATTCTAAGTGTATTACATTTCGTAAGTTGAGGCACATGTACATTTCATAAAATATGATGGCAGAAATGTACCAGTAAAGGATATTCTGGAGTATATATAAACAGAAAATATTTTTTGATCAAATATATACCGATAGTTAAATTTGTACAAAGTAGTCAGTGCTACTACCTCGCTAATATCATTGTGTTTCAGCTGGTAACATGTCACAGGTAGAAAAGTACACCATTGAGGATAACTACAATTGGAATACACATACAAAGGAGAAGTAATATCTTCGCAGATATTTAATGAATACAAATAAAGCAAGTCCTATTTTATATTGTTAGCAATTCTGAAGAAGAAAAAAAGTACTTGAATCAGTCAAATTTATGGATATACTAGTATTTTGTGCTGCTTGTCTGAAAAACAGGAATAATCCAAACATGAGCACAGCCAACTTTTCCCTTACAACCATATATATTTTACATTCGGTGGGATATTTGCAAATCAGAATTATAAACACCCGTTAACATTATTACCACACGTTATCATCCATCACATGCCACAGACCCATAATATACACACACCACTGACAAAATAACAGTCCACAGGTTGCTAGGTAATGGTAGGAATGATAGGAACAATTCAAATTCTGGCCATCCAGTATAGAATAGTTATTTTTCTTATAAGATGACCTCTAAGATTTAATTACAATGTTGGTTTTTGAGAAATGACATATTTGGATAACCATTCCCATTTACCATAGTATAACTATGTGCAGTTCAGTGGTGATACAGTGAATTGGAGCGACAGTCAAAAAGTTATCTATTATGAAACACGCTACAGTAAGAGTTTACCCATTCCTGCACTAAACCACAGTCTATAGAGGGACTGTGACTAAACGCAAACCAGCTCTTTAGCAGTCAGGGAAACTCGAAACTATTTTTTTTCCAAAAATTGAACTGAAGAAAAATAAGATAGCTTTTTATCATATCTGATTTGTGTGTTTTGAATAACAAATTTAGATATATAAATATTTGTACATTTCAACAAATTCCCAATACCATTTGTCAAGAGAGAAATATCAAATACTGTAAAGGGGGTAATTATTCACTGTGTTTTAATTTGGCTTATTTCGCTGACTGGAAAATACGCTAAATTAAAACTCAGTGAATTAGTAAAATTTAGCATAGAACACACTATCTAAATGATAAAACCGTGAATTTAAAACCCACTGAATATGCCTGAAATGGCAAATCAGTGAAATTTAAACCCAGAGAAAATTAGTCATATTACAGTATCAGCCAGTTTACATAAAAATATAGATTTCATTCCCAACCAAACTACACATTATTTAGAACAAATAAAATAATTATGTCGATTAGAAAATAAAAAAATTTACCTTCCAAGCACATTACATCAAAAAAAAACATTGAACTTAACTGATATAAGAACAATGGTATATCAAATTAAGAATATCTGCTGTTTGATTCACAAAAAAAACAGTCCAAACAATCAAGCCCTGAATAACCAGTACATTCACTATAAATTATTGAAGTGGCATTTTCACATCACGGACTAACGCTAGTGGATAAATACAGGCAGGTAGAAATGCAGCCAATGAGGAATATTTTGGTATTGGAAAAGTGAATTCAATATTCTTAATTGCTCTACAAATTTTGCATAAAAATAATTATCAAATTTGCATTGTGATTTGTTCTTCTCTGTGCACCAGTTCAATTTGGAAGAAACAGATTCTGATTCAGGCAGAGTGGGCGTCAAGGCTATATTAAATAATTTTTTTAGATAAATTACTAAATTAATAACTGTTATTTGGATTTCAAACTAAGAACCTCCAAATCTGAGTAACAATTAAATTCTCAAAGCATATGTAAATGTCACTGATTTCAAGTAACCCCCAGTATAAAAACTTTCAACATCAAAGTAGACCCACACTTCTTGTTTAAAATTAGTTCATCTACTAATATTACTTTCTATGAGTTTTCAAACTGGGTGTATCCAACATCATCTTTCATTAGGCCTGTAAGTAAAACAGGACGCATTTTAGTCATCGTCGTCGTCTTTAATAAGTCCTGTGAAAGTAAATGGAGGGTGGGATTTGACTTTATTGATGACATGCAGCAAGCAATGCAAGATGATCAGTTAGTATTAGGTACATACACCATACAATTAGTAACATGCAAGTAAAATGGCACCTAGAAATCAAGAACTCTGGTAACACACATGGCCAATACTAAGCTTTCACCACCATGTGTCAGAAAAACACATTCACTTTAGTAGATTCAATTTCATATCATTGATAACACTAATTCTGAGCCGTCTCAATTCCTATACATTTTTCTGTAAGATAGCCAAATTGTGACATTTTGTCAAGCCGAGATTGGTGGTGAAATTTGTCATGGGTGTTACCAGCAGAATCTTTCATTTTAACTGGTCTGTGATTGATCAAATGGGTTGTCTATCAAACTGTCACCATGATAATTATCTCACTATTAGAGTAGAGTAGTGGTACTTAAACTGTAGCTGCATGTATACTACCCTCATGTTTTGTACAAGAGTGACTATTACAATGTAAAATGAATTACTTTTACTGCATTCACTAATCATGCTACATTAACACCAAAACTAACTGCAGCACTGTGATTTGAGGAATGGTTTGCAACATGCAGCAATTGTTATAATGTAGGCTACAAAAAACTCACCATATTTTTTTCTGATTTCATCATTCTTGGCCTTGCGTTCAGCACGTCTACACAGAAACACAAATAAACATTAATGAAAATATTATCTGATCATAGACGCATACAAATGGTCAGATTAACCATACATAGTGAATACATAGTTACATGCAACAATTTCAGTAAGAGAATTTCTGATTGGCCAAACAAGATTTTCTATATCACAGTTGATCAGATCTAGCTATGTTGCACATTCTTTTAACAGATTACACATACCCATACCTTTCTTCTTGTCTCATTTTTCTTTCTTCTCTTTGGCTTTCAAGTTTAGCATCTTCTCTGGCATATCTACAATTAAAGCAATTAGGGCAAAAATAAGTAAAGTAGGATCAGTTTTTCATTTCTCCGGCAGTCATGCACAACATAGACTACTGTAATCTGTTGAATTTTTTGAGGCAACCAGTTCATTTTTATATATGCATTCTACATGAGCACCAACCACCCAACCATGGTTAAGACTTGTACTCACTCTATTTTGCTATACCTGCTTGCAAGAAAACAAGAAAAAACCTATCATCGGATTATGTCTTGTGACCATAATTGAAATGTACAAAAAAACTAGATGCATGCACCATTACCGGCAACAGAACTATTTCTGTATTTAAACCAACCTGTACAGCGACATATAATTGGATAAAAAAAGGCTTCAGAGTACAATATGATAAAAGCTATTACTTAATATCTAAAAATTCAGCTCGTGAACAGAATTGGTTCATTTCACACAAAAAAAAATTTAACCTTCATCTAAAAAGCCTGCCAGATGCCAAAAATGGTTGATTTTTAATAATAAATAAACAATTTAGACCAGAGTGATGGACAACAGACTACATGTCACTTAAAATTATATATCAGTAATATATCAATACAGTTATTATGCAATGCTAATGTACAAGCCCCATTGGTGTTTTGTGAAAGGAGGGTTTAGGATAGGATATGATTGCTAGATAATTCATTTAAATTGATGGAAGACAATCAAAATCAGCATTCAGCAATAGTACCGGATTCAGCTGATACCCCGCCCATCCTAAACCCCACCCATGGGCGATGTTTCAAATAGTGGGCGATGTTTTGGTCCACACATTGCCTGACTGAACCTACAAACATTTTTACAGACCCAATTTTCCTGTCAGACATCTTGTATCGAGCGTACTATTTCAAATATGACGCTAAAAATAATTCACTGTGAAGTCTAAAAGCATAAAACTCCAATAAAACCAATTATTGTTGCGTATTATTACTCGTTAAAATAATTTCACTTATGTTTATTAGACTCGAATAAAGTCTACGCTTGAAAAGAATGTTATTTACGAAGTTTAAAATAGCCAAGCCTTCCTGATTCGAGCCTCTTGGTTGTTATCAGTAATGTTTAATCTTTGTCTGTATCGCATTCCAGACAAAAAGTTCAAGATCGGTAAACAAGAAATGGGTGAACTGAAATGTCTCCTGCATTTCACATGCGACATGATTATTAAAAAAACACAGAGTTAAGCGATCAAGTACGTTCTATAAATCTAATGTGCACACATAATCTTGTATTTACGTGTTTTTTGTCCAAAAAAGATGTTTCCTTTCAGTTAACCCCCAGTTAACTCTTTGCGTTCATGGTATTTGTGAGAGTTGAAAGATTTTTTGAACACATGACAAGTAACTATATTGATTTGCGTCAAGCTGGATGGCCCGAATTTAAATATCAGTGCGTGAACTCTGGAGGTCATTGCCCAATGTCGCACGTAATTCAAACGCGTGGTTATTAGAGTTCAGACTAAATGTACGTGAATATTGCGATCGAAGTGCGCTGTCCAGAGTTTATTATATTATAGTAAAATTTAACTTGACACATAGTATGGTTTATATTACATGTTCACTTCATTTCGAATAAAATAATTCACCATTGGAACATCGATGAATCACAAGTATTTAAAATATTTTCTTGACTTTCCGTAGATACGAGACTACTATCCTTTTTAATGATTTAAATGCGCCCATGTTTATGTTTGCGTAATTATTATGAATGCAACGCATTATCAAGTCATTAATATTGAAATATTCACAGACTCAATACCCCGGGTCAGCATCCTAACAATAGTAAAAAATAACTTTGCATAATTATCATGAAAGCAATACATTACAAAGTTGAAATATTTAAAGCCCGTGAAATATTGTAAACAAATTTGCGTAATTAGAAAAGCAGTGAACTAAGTAAACGACGTTGATATATTCAAAGCCAGTACAGAGTTGCATACAAGTTGCGTAATTACAGTACCGTCGGATATAATAACAATTTTACTAGATCAACGCGCGGAACACAGAAGAAAAAGGTAAGCTAAGGTAACGCGCCAGTTCAGTGCGTGACTTGGGGTCAAACATCGGTCAACACACACTTGATGTCAGCATCGCCACGCACAGCAAATTTCGCAAAGAAGTACTTGAAGTTCAATTGCGTCCCAAAATGATGTCGCTGATCACTCAGTTGTCGCAGCTTGTGTTGTGTCATGTCTATGATGCACCCCGTTTCGACTTTGGCTTGCTTTCCCTTCTTAGTGCATGTTCTTGTTCACGTAAAATGCGACTTCTCACCAATGTATTAAAACACTTTGAATTTATACTTTGCATGATTATATTTGGTCAACGCGAAACATTATTTTTTCTAAACATTTTCTGAGACTATTTTTATCAACGCAGGATTATTTTTCCAGACAATATGGGCTTCGTAATATCTGCCAAAACATCGCCCGGGCGATCTTTTGGTCCACATTTTTCTATAAAAAAAATGGAATCCTCCATAAGATCGCCCAGGGCGGGGTATCAGCCGAATTCGGTAGTACTGTAATTGTGCTTTATCAGAAGTGTTTAGGATTACATCAATTACATATCCAGTAAGACAACACACTGGAGATGAGCAAATACAGTAGTTTGTTTGTTTGTTGAACACTTACTTTCTCTTATTTCTACCAGATCTACAACAGCAGCAATAAACACAGCAGCAACAGCTGATCAAAAGTACACCAGCAATCACTCCCATAGATATCAACAGGGCTTCGAAATTCACTGTCAACAAAAAAAAAAAAATGTATATCTCGTTATTGAAGTTAATAATTTTAATTAGCAAATAAGGGTGCCTGATTTCACACTTGCAATCAATATTAAGAGATATGCAACATTTGTAGTCTTTATAATACATATTATATTTATAATAAATTATAATACAAAGTTATTGGCCAAATACTTGTAAACATTATCTACTCACACCAACATACAAGCCATCTTGCATCTGAAAGAGGACATTGTTTGGTTGGAAGAATATCACCCTTGGGGTAATCTCCACATCCTGTATCGTCTTTATTACACCAGTAACACTGAAACAACAATTTGATGAATTGTTAGAGATAGTGCATGTACAATAGTATCATAGAGTTGCTGTCCAACATTCTCTTAAGACTACAGTGAATAAAAATATGTGAGGCCAAATAAAATGTATGTAAAATGCATTGAATAAATATACGGTATGTATACCTGGTACATGTAGGTAGGTAGGTAGGTACAACTTGTATTTATTGCTACACTAATTGCTCCTTCAGTAGTGCATGCATTTAAATAAACTACAAAAAGCAGCCATTTTGGAATATTTTGCAAAAGAATCCATGTAAATACATTATGCCATAGATATCTTACATATTAATATTCAAAATTCTCCAATTTTTGTGACCCTTATAACACTACAAAACATTTTTTTAGCGTAGGTTACCAAACATAATTTTGAGATATAATGGAATGTTTCTGCCATAGGAACCAATTGTAATCATTCAACAAATTTTTGACAATTTTTCCAAACTTGGTGATCATGTATTTCTATTTCAAAATGTTGAACATTACAGTAACCCAACCCTCTGGCTGAGATTTTCCAAGTATTTCCACTATTATCGTACTTATCCGGGTAAGAGCCCATGCCTGGGCAAACGCCCACCCGCCACTTTAGACACATTAAAGAAGTTGAGGTCATATCCGGGCACACGCCCATGGGGTCTTTTCCTACACAAAAAATAAAATAAAACTATTTTCTATTCGTTGACTATGGTTGTATTAACAGTTGACTTTCTTGAAGTCTGTCGTGATGCTTATAACAATTATTTAAATATAATTGTTGATTGCGTAAAACAAGGGGTGAACGCGAAATAGCTGTGACAGCTTTCTGCTTTCGGGCATGGAGGTAAATTTCTACCTCCATGCTTCAGAGCAGCGCGTTCCCCGCTGATTTTTTTTTTCAGTATCATAACAGTCAGCAAGTCTACAAAAATATATATTAAAGCAGAAACGGTAGTTCTCTTTTTTAAATATGTCGTGGCCCTAAAAATGGCCGGTCGTTTGGTTTGTGCTTCCTTAGAAACGATTCAAGCAAATCGTATAATGAGAGCCGCAAAGCAAGTGTCGCACTCGTTCGGCTTTAGAGCCGTCGACAATGAAACCAATGTTGCAATATTGTAGCAACCCGTACCTGGGAGAGTGGTTGAATTAACATTATTTTGGCTTTAAAAAATATTTTGTAGCAGCTTGCGAATCCATAACTGGGGCCAGCAACTGAATTTTGCAATGTCACGCCGAAGACTACCAACTTTTTTTACCATCTTTCATCACCGCTATTGCATTTCTGTCATAAAAACTATTCTTCTGTCGTTGGATAAAAAAAAAAACTTCCTATTTCAAGTCCACCGCGATATCCATATAGTGAGACATTCCAACCGCCGGAACTTGCTGAATGATAACTTTCACCGTGATTGATAAGCGTCGAGTCTGTTAAGAAAGCAATGTCACGATTTGACCTTTATAAAGGTCAAAGATGATTGCTAGACTGTAAACAAAAGCATCGTGTGTCATCGCAGCAGAGCGACCCCATTTTTCTTGTCTCTTTATTGTGATTGAACACGAATGAAAAATGCCAAGCTGACAGACTGCGAGATCCGTGAATTAAAAGTGCTAAGTCCAAATTGTGTGGGACAATATCGACGAACTTCAGGAATAAGTTGTAGGGATTTTGTTCGACAGCTACAGTGACGCCGACTTGGACTTTGAGGGTTTTGAGTTTGACGAAGATGGCAATGAACGTACAAATAAAGATCTGAGAAGTATTTTCAAACAGCTATGAATTTTTATAATTTTTACTGTGTAAATTTGTAAATTATTATTGATCTTGTATGACAGTTGACTCGTAATTTGTCGAGACCGGAAATCATTTTACGCAGTTCAACCTCTGACATTTTAATTAATTTTGAGTTCACGCGTATTGGGCGTGTATGTCGGCGAGAAAATCCTAATTCAAATAATTCCTCACTGACGATTTTTATTATTTCTGGTTTATTTGTCACATTATAAGCAATACATTAATTTTGTTTTACTTCTAGTGTTGCATATTGTTCATTTATTTCCGTTGCATGTTTCCATTTGCTGTTCTATTCCCTGCCGCAGTTCGATCTGTGTGTTGTCAATTTTCGAGAATTTTCGTTTTTTCTGCCGGGGATCTCCTGGCAAACGCCCACCCCTTCTTTTTGGCAATTTTCCATGTTCAGGACTCTGGGCTTATACCCGGATAAATACGGTATTGTAGCAACCTACCTTAATAGAGGAAATATAATGGTTTTCAATTACTTACTTTAGTATATTTTAAGCATTCATCACAACTTGTCAAAGAAATGCACTCTGAAAAACACAAACAATACAGTGTTAACAGTAACTGAAAATCTCAAGCAACAATCTATGTTTCACGTGTGAGTGTGTAAGATTATTCAGTTTTATGATAATGACATCCTCATACATGTCATATTTTATAGCTGCACTATAGAAGCAGTGTAGGATAGGAAAGTAATGTAAATAAGCTCCAAGTCAGAAAGGCCAAAAAGTTCCCAAAACTCAAGGACCTACACACCAAGACAGAGATGGTTCTGATTATTTTTATCACACAAACTGATATTGAACAGGTTTACGCCACAACCAACAAACCCAGACACTTATTTTTTTATTCACTGATACATGTACATGTATGCACAATAATTTTTTTTTTATTGACACAAGTCAAATTTGTAAGAGAACTGAAATACTTGGGTATCTTAAGTTCAATAAATAACAAAACTTAAATAGATCGATTTGATATTTTATTTTGTAAAATATTGCGATCCTATTACCGGTAATATAGATCAAAACTACAGAGACTAAAGCTTAGCAGAATGATTTTCTTCTTGGTGGGGCCCTTACTAACTTTTCATGGCTATTAAGTGACTGTTTGTCCTCATAATCAATTGGAACAATGATTCTCTGTAGTCAGGCTTCTAACCAGTGCTCCTTCTAAGCCTTATTTTCGCTCAACTTTCTCAGATTCAATTGTAGTTTCTCAGTGAAATGTTGTCTTTTGAGAAACTTTCCATGCATTTTGTATGCAGAAAAAAACATTTCAAGGGGAAAATGGACAAATTTTCACAGTATTTTCAAGATTCAAAAAAAAATAAAGGCAACAGTGCTTCTAACACCAATTTTTAACATCATTTTAGAGTTAGAGTTTCGCCTTGCATTTTTGATGAAGTTCCCAATTTGCAATTTTGACATATCTGCAGAAATACATTTGGGAGTACATGTAGGTGTTTATTTTGCTTACATCATTTTGGTTGTCATTTTAAACATCCCTCCAGTAAACAATATTTGATTTTAATTGGATATTGTATTGTTGATATGAAAATAAGACGCAAGATGTATCTGTTTTTTTCTGGTTGGTGGAGAATTGATCATATGCATGATGCACATAATGCAGCTGAATAGCAACTGTACAGGACATATTTGGAATATACATTTCCTGATTGATAACACTGCAAAAAGTGAGAAAAATTAGAATATATTTTTATAATCTCTCTACACGATTATTAGAAGGATCTATTGTAACTTTGAAAATGCAAGTTTATGGCATGTTTTTTGTATCTGTCAAAAGGTCCTGTTGGTTTTCAAAACTACTGGTCCTACACAAAATCAGTCTGTCTTGGATCTTGAACGAAACAACATTAATTTTCGACACTGTTATAAGAATTTTTTACCAATTTCATTGACTTGAATTCGAAAAAAATATGTCTGACAAAATTACAGTACAAATTCCGGCTGCAATAAAATAATTCATTGCAATATTTTTATAGCAATAAATACTAGTTACCATAAAACGTCTACTATATATCACAGTCATCTGGAGAGTCTGTAACCAAAGTTAATATTGCATGCTATATATCACATGAAAAACCTGACAACAATATTTGCACTACAAATGCATATTTGCATTGACCACCACAAAAAATTATTCAACCAGTTATAAATTGAATTTTGTTGACAGGTTCTCACAATTAATAACATACAATAAAACACTATCTTGAACCAAATAGAAACAGATTGAAAGGTAACCTTCCTCAAGATTCATCAATTTTTAAAAAGCGATCAAGGTTCTGTTTGAGTTTTCAAACAGGCATTTAGCAGAAACTACAATATATGCAAAAAAATGTGTTGGATACCGTACATCAATGCTTGATTTTAAACTGCAAACCATGCCAGAACATCTGTATAGACTCCTAAGCTTATCTAACCCCAAACCTTAACTCTTAAATTCAAAATATCACATCATGTGTTTTCAGTAATTCAAAACGACAAGACAACCAACCATATACATGTAACATTTCCAACAGTGAGTTGACATGATAACATCCAGATGTGTACACTCTAGACATGTAATATTGTTAATCATTAAATTTTCACCACTAGAATTGTACTTGATTTCATAATTCGAAGGTTATTGAAAGAACAACATTTTATGAAAGTCGATGTGTACAATCTCCACTGTTTTGATTTTCGCGCAAGTCTGGTTTATACAATGTACAGGACGTGAGTAATAGCCATGTGTACTCCCTATGATGATCTTCAATGTTAAGTCATAATTCAATGCCATGTCGATAGATATATTTTTTCCTTATTTTCTACACGATTTTATACGCAGAAAAACAAGCCTGGTGTGGTAATACGTACTTGTGTACGAGGTGAAACAACTCACTGGGTGGGTGCACGCGTGACGTCGTGAGCCATATGCGACAGTTTCCGGTAAAAGTAAAACGCATTTGGAGTTTGATTGCATTGTTATTAAACAACATCTGTGGAAAAATATCTGCGTCATTCTATCAACGAATGTGCTGGAAATGAATCGTGTAGTATTATCTATGAATACAGGTACAGACAGTGAACCCACGAGAGAATATTTTACAAACGTTCTCCATTTTGAAACGCCCCTTGCTTCCCAACTGACATTTAAAGAATGTTGTTTTAAATAAACAACTGTCCGCGAAAAAGGCTAGAAACACGGAAATATGGCGTAATATCAATAAGTGTGCTGCAATTACAAGGAAACTGTACAATGTAAAGCGAGATATTCGTTCAATGAAAACAATAAACAAAGATGTCGTCATGGTCAGACATGATTGCGATCGCGTGACACTAACCAAACAAAAGCATCGGTAAAACTGTAAATAGTTTGACACGAGGGACTTGTCCGCGGTATGAAATCTCACTAGAGATTATTTTCTACCAATGTTATAGATCAAATGAACGCATAGAAGAAGAAAAAAAATATAAATACCTGGTTCTGGTGTCGGTGTCGTTGACACTGCTGGGGACGATGTTGTGTTTGTCGACGCAGAGTTCACAACCACCCCGAAAGAAAAAGTAACGAATACCACCAGTAAACTGATATGTGTATATCCCATCGCGGCCAATAAATATATAATTAGATAGAAGGCCAAAACGGTAAAAAATCAGTAAAACAAAAAACTTCAGTAAGAATCTCTATCCCTATATGTATTTCCAACGTGACTCACTGTCTGTATGTGAATAGAGATGTTTTGCCTGATCACTCGCGTACTGATATTGAACTGCATTAGTATTATTTTTGCAAATAATTCACGCCAGATGAAGTGCATTGCAGATAATTTTTCTATACATCATGCTTCTATGTGAATTTTTATATTAATAAATCATATACAACAAATTATAGTGTAGGTCCTTATTTTAATACTGCGGATGAATATACTACCTACGTGGTGCATGAACTCGTTCAGTGACGTATTAGGTCATGTCATAGGGAACGTCCGATTAATGATTGACCGACTAACATAGTTTATTTAATATTGATCGCCCGGTTTAACTGCTCATGCAATATTTGAGAGTCGGTTACTCCACAACTTATGTAGTATTGTGAGCTACGCCCAATATTATTTTATTTTTCATAAATGACTTTTTTGTATCCTTTAATTTATGGCAACGTGTTACTCAAAAATATTAAATGATGTAGTTTTATTATGACTTTTAAGTTTACAAAATTTGAAGAAATTCGCATAATATCATTATCATTGTACATGAATATTAAATCCATTTGTAATGATGCAAATTACCATGGACTAATAGATTCTCGTGAAATTAATAAACATTGATGTAAAACTAAAAAAAATAGTTCAGTGGAAAAATGAAATACTAGTATATGATGACAATAAAAGAAAGAAGAACGGAAAAAATAAAGTAAAAAACAAAAAACTTAGTTAAGAGGATTATTTGACAAACACTGAAAATATTGAACTCCAGTAATTAATCAATTAGTAAGTTTCGTCTAAGTAATCATTCACTGAGAATTCAAACAGGTCGCCATAGTCAGTTGTCAGCAAATAAAACGGTACTGTAAATTACTTTATATTAGCTGGATTAAATTTTTGCTGAAAGACTTTTTTGGGTGATTTGTATGGAATTTATTTTCACTGAATTTTGACGAGTTGAGTGTAAAATATAGGGAAAAAGTTGTATTCCGTCGCTGGATTTTATTTTCACAGTCAGCGAAAACAGCAATAATCAATTCGAAGCGAAATTAAGGTATTTTAAGGTACGTCTTCTCCAAGGCGATTGGCACGAGAAGGCGCCGTCCGATCTGAATGAAACGTTTTGAAGTCAGTCGTATGTAGCCCACCAAACAACAACAACGTCTCTCTTACGAACAAATGAAATAATTTAGCGATTTCTTCACAGAATAATTCTTAGCAAAATATAGAAACATCACATAGAAATATTCATTCTCTACTTGTCTATTGTCTATTTTATGTTGGAGTGAGTTCTACATATGATTTTATTGAAGTTGCGTTCAAAATATCAATTTCATACTGCGCATGCACACACACAGTGATTTCTCGAAATGCTTACTAATTCGGTAACTTGTCACTGGTAAAAGTTATTGGAAACATTTTGAGCAATATTACTAGAGTGAAATATCAACGTGCTTCTGCATTTTTCATGAATTTCGTAACTTGCTATAATCACGTTACATAAAACTTGAAAACCTGTGGAGTCTGATAAAAAAAACGTGTCTCAAAAAACACTTTTACATCAGTTTTTTGACTATTTTTTCAGCTCGTAAAAATAGAATCAGCCAATTTAGAACTATCATGTTTGCTATAGGAAAACATTATAGCACAATTTTACTAAAAAGACGAGTTTTCATTGCTCGTGAATATTAATTTATGCAAATGCAACCGATCATGTCATGCAACTCCCCCGGTCTTCTCCGTGACACAAATTAGATTGAAGATGAATCGCATTTTATGATGTCTTGCCCTGTTTGTACCCAACATATAAACATTGGTGTCTTCCAAATTCTTGGATTTTCCGCCATTTTTATTTTTTATTTTTTTTTTATTTTTTTGTTTTTTTGCTTTGTCATGTCACTTTTAGTATTTTTTTGTCTTGTTTCGTTTTGTGCATTGTATCCATTATCATCCATTCAAATGGATGTTAAGTGATTAAATAAAATAAATAAACATTTTGAATTGCAAAATGTTGACAGGTTTAGTTCATTTTACCATTGCTTACTGTTATGTCCAAAATATACATCTCAGTTTAATCATTGTAAGCCTGAAACCATGCATGTTTGGTGATCACGCGTCCCTTTAGTAATCACAGCCAGTATCGCTATAGTTTACGATAATAATAGTTCAATGATTCAACGATGAATTAGTCTGTACTAGTATTTTCTATGTTTGAGGGCGCTATTACCGTTGTTATAAATTTCCCTTTTTCAAGTGGAGCTGTATTTGTTTCGCCTCCGGAATGATAGTTTCTGTGTGAGCGCCGTCAGCGCCGTTCTGTACCCTCGATACTCAAACAGAGCTTGTGGCGCTCACATATAAACGAACACTCCGGGGGTGGGACGAATGTCGATAGCAGCAATAACAAATCAGCTCCTAAAACTGACAAGCGAATTTGTGAACTTCGTGAAATCAAATAAATTGACGATGATCATCACTTTAATGATGTTCTGAATACTTTACAATATAGTTACAACAGAAGATGTAACACTTTGAAACAACATCCAATTCTTTCCTCTCGACAACAAACTAAAACACGTTAACATTTCAGCACTCGTTCTCTTCCTTGCCCATTGAATAGAATACTATCGTAAAGAAAGTTCCTTTTTGGTATATACACGACAATACTGATTTGGTTAGAAAAAAGTTAAAATGTCAGCAGAAAATGTCAAAGAAATGGATGGTGAAATAATACAGTTACTATGAATTTCATAATGAAATAACATATCTACTCTGAAAGAAACTGTTCTTGTATTTCACAGGCTGCAAAAATGTAGTTCTCTCCGGCCTCCCTTTCTTACAGTTTTCCAAGCTTTTTCCTCTTGCTCACGATGACCTCCCGACCTCTTCCAATCATTTACCGACTTTACCTTCCACCAACGGCCCTTCCCAGCAACCACTTGTTTACCGGATCTCTCACTCACTTTACACTTTTCCCAGTCTACGAGCTGTCTCGGGAAAATCCCCCCAGATTTCGAAAAAAATCTTGTTAACTATTGCAGTAGACCACAATTCAGAAGGGAACATTCATGATATACTAGACATTCCGAATACATTGTTTTGATTTTCTGGCGATTTGTATACGGAATGGGTTCTGTTTTTGCTCACTACGTAATGGTGTACCACAAACACGGAGCAAATACAATTAACACAAGACGTTGAAAGATGTCATTGTGAATATTGTCGGCAATGAGTAAATGGCTTAATGACGTCAATATATACTTATAGATAGATTAGCAATGGCAATCCATCTTCTTAATACACCAACTACATGTCCATGCAGATAAAACAGGTATTCAAGATTCAATGGACTACTATATTTTTCCCCTAAGAAACAGGCATGCTGATTTTTTCTCCCTGTTATTGATATATCTCTGCAGGATTTTCCCCCATAATTTTACTTTTATTTTTCAAATCTGCCACCTCATGCCAGAGTTTCTATTTGTCCATATGCATTTTACTTAGTATTTATTTAAGGTAGAAGCCTACTAATATTTTTTGAGAAATTTGGTCATAAATCACATGACAATGTTCATTGGTTTATTATGTAAAATCATGGAGCTATTGTCCCATGGCACCATGAAATAGCATTCTATTGTGTGTTACAGTGACCTATTTTGAGAAACTTGTACTACATTTTTTCAAAAATAGCTATTTTTAGAACAATTCCATAGAGCGCAATGTTAAACAAAAATTGCATTTTTCAACACTTTTTAAAACCCAGATTTTTGAAAAAATTCAGGAAAACAAAAAGTAGGCCATCATTAACAATATATTATTTTTTCAGCCTATGTCACCAGCCTACAATTTGAGATATGGCATAATATCTCTGCCATAGGAACCTATGGTAAAAGCACTATAATACTGCCAAAATGGCCGCTATCCACTTAAATACAACCATGATTTTCTCGAAAATTAACCTGGTGACCCCCATTTTTTTCAAAGTCAATATTCTTATATTGCCTGGAAGTACAATATATTAAAAAATTAAGAAATTCTGGGGTTTTGAAATCATGAGTAGGCTTCTACGTTAATCTATAGCTGTGGTTAGGATACTAATTGTCAATACCACAAGCTATGACAATAGAACTTAAATATTGTAGAATACTTTACGCTTGGAATTTATTTTCGCTATTTTCGCTGAAGGGATGATTCCGTGAAAATGAAATCCAGCGAATATACTTTTTTTCCTATATTTCACATTAAACTCATCAAAAATCAGTGAAAATAAATTTCATACCAAACACCCAAAAAGCTTTTTCAGTGAAAATTAATTCCAGCGAAAATAAAGTATTCCACTTCCTTGGCTTCTACTATTACTACCTACTCCATATATCAATGAGTTACAAACTGTAAAAGTATCATATAATACATTTTATATCACCAAAACGTGTTTATCAATCAAAAAATTGCATTTATTTCATACTGGACAATTAAAATAAGACTTATTAGACCAAGATAACAAGTTCCCAATCATTTTTCCCCCCAAACCCAAAAATAAAATCTGTTATCAATCCCTATCTATTGAAAATGGCATTCCATTCACAGAAAATAGATAATTTTCACAAGTTTTTCATTAAAATAGTGAA